CTCTCTCTCTCTTTCTCTCTCTCTCTCCCTCTCTCTCTCTCCCTCTCTCTCTCTCTCTCTCTCTCTCTCTCTCTCTCTCTCTCTCTCTCTGCGTGCTCTCTCTCCCCCTCTCTCTCTCTCTCTCTCTCTCTCTCTCTCTCCCTCTCTCTCTGATCAAATAGCTAAGTGTGTTAGTTCTAACTTGAAGTGTGTTTTGCTCACCGGTCCGTCACAGCGGGTAGAGCTGCGTGTTCTCGGTCAGCTGATCGTGGTCTCTGATCTCTCTCGCTCTCTCCCTCTCTCTCTCTCCCTCTCTCTCTCTCTCTCTCTCTCTCTCTCTCTCCCTCCCTTGACACACGTTGCATTCCGTTATTTTACTGTCTTTTTTGGACACCTTAAAAAACTGCCAGACCGGTGAAGCCATTTTGGCGAGCTTGTTTTGCCGCACAGAGAAAAGCCTCATGTATTTTACGTCATCTGATCGGCTCTCCTGATCGGCCTTTATAGAGAGCACCGATCAAACTATTAGGAGTGAATATCGGCCGATAATGATCGGCAGCCGATTGATCGGAGCATCCCTAATGAAGACATACAAAAAGTTCTTTACAAGTGTATGTAACCTTTTGACCACAACTGTAGATTTGATGGCTGTGGGGTTGATGTGATGTGTGTGTGTGTGTGTGTGTGTGTGTGTGTGTGTGTGTAGATGTGAGTTTGATGGCTGTGTGTAGATGTGTGTGTGTGTGTGTGTGTGTGTGTGTGTAGATGTGAGTTTGATGGATGTGTGTAGATGTAGGTGTGTGTGTATGTGTGTGTGTGTAGATGTGCGTGTGATGGTAAGCGGGGTGTTAGCAGCGTTATTGAGCCGCTGCTCTTTCATTACCTGCTGTTCCCTGCAGAGCGCCGCCTCGGCCACCTTATTACACTTATTACAGTTATTACAGTTATTACAGAGAACAGCAGCAGCTCAATGAAAGGAATGAAAGGAGTCCCAGAGGAGCAGCTGGTTACCTCCATCATGGCCGCCGTCACAGCTCTCTGTGAGGAGGCCTTCAGGGAGCGTGGGTCATATTACTGCCTGGCTGCAGAGCTTTAATACGGACACTTATTAATCCAGCTGCAGGAACAACAGGAACACAAGCTGTCAGATCTGAGGTCAGCTGACTCACCTGATGCTTCTCTAGCTCCACATCGCTGCATAAATGTTGCTTCTAATTGCTATTAGCATAGCATCGGCATCTACATCAACTTGCCAACTGTTATTAAGTCACCACTGAGCTGGGCTCTGGTTCACTTGTTTCTCTTAATGACAGAACTCTGACTTTTTCTCAAAATCTTGACTTCTTTTAAACAATTAACAGAAAATGCTGTAAAACCATCCCATCACCTCAGAGCAACAGGAAGTGGGACCACCTCATCCATCACTACTGACCACATGATCCCCCCTCTGGAGGCTGGTCCTGTGTGTGTGTGTCATTCATCACTAACTGAGTGTGTGTGGTTATTCTAAACTGAGTGTGCGTCTGCAGGTGGGAGGGCTCCCCCCCGCTGGACGCTGACATGGTAAACACTGTTTATGTTTAAATATTTAATATCACTGAGCTGTTTACCAGTGTGCTGATGTTTGTGTGTGTGTGTGTGTGTGTGTGTGTGTGTGTGTGTGTGTGTGTGTGTGTGTGTGTGTGTGTGTGTGTGTGTGTGTGTGTGTGTGTGTGTGTGTGTGTGTGTGTGTGTGTGTGTGTGTGTGTGTGTGTGTGTGTGTAGGATGTAGAGGCGGTGCTTCAGGCTCTGTCTGGTGCCGGCTCGGTTCAGGTCCAACAGCTCGGCTCGGTTCTGATGCAGCATCTGAGGTCGGCACGGCAACGCAGAGTTGACATCATCGCCCAGGAGATGAAGGCTGTGATGGACGAGAGGGACGGGTCTGTTGCCATGGTGAGGATCTACTTCCTGTCTGTCTGATGATGATTTTGCAGAATTAACTCTTATAAAGCAGGAGTACTGTAGATAAGAATATACACCGTGGAGGAAATAAGTATTTGATCCCTTGCAGATTTTTTAAGTTAACTTTAATGGTAGGTTTATTTTAAAAGTGAGAGTAAGAATATAAAAAAAACAATCCAGAAATTGACATTATATAAAAGATACAAATGTATTTGCATTTAATTGTGGGAAATAAGTATTTGATCCCCTAGCAACCAACAAGGACCCAAGTCCTGTTCCTTTAAGGAAGTACTCCTGATATCAACTTGTTACCTGTATAAAAGACACCTGTCCACAGACACCTGTCCACAGAATCAATCACTTCCAGCCTCTCTACCATGGGTGAGACTAAAGATCTGTCTCAGGACCTCAGGGTGAGACTAAAGATCTGTCTCAGGGAGAGACTAAAGATCTGTCTCAGGACCTCAGAGTGAGACTAAAGATCTGTCTCAGGGGGAGACTAAAGATCTGTCTCAGGACCTCAGAGTCAGGACCTCAGAGTGAGACTAAAGATCTGTCTCAGGACCTCAGAGAGAGACTAAAGATCTGTCTCAGGACCTCAGAGTGAGACTAAAGATCTGTCTCAGGACCTCAGAGAGAGACTAAAGATCTGTCTCAGGACCTCAGAGAGAGACTAAAGATCTGACTCAGGACCTCAGAGAGAGACTAAAGATCTGTCTCAGGACCTCAGAGAGAGACTAAAGATCTGCCTCAGGACCTCGGAGTGAGACTAAAGATTTGTCTCAGGACCTCAGAAAGAGACTAAAGATCTGTCTCAGGACCTCAGNAGAGTGATGTTTAAAACTCAGTTAATGGGGCTCATTTTTTCATAGTGTTTCAGTTTATAATAAGTCGTTTGGCGTCATGCAGCTCGCTAATCCAGTAATGAGTGACCTGACCTTGAGACATAAAGAGTATTTATAAACTAGTTTAGGTTGGTTCCAGATAAACTAGCTAAGTGTGTGTAGGTAGACTTGAAGTGTGTTTTGCTCCGCTCACCGGTCCGTCACAGCGGGCGGAGCTGCAGGATCTCTGCTTCACACACGTTGCATACCGCTATTTTATTGTATTTTTCGGACACCTTCCAAAACTGCCAGACTGGTGAAGCCATTTTGGCGAACTTGTTTTGCCGCGCACGGAGAAAAGTGTCATGCATTTTACGTCATCTGATCGGCTCTCCTGATCGGCCTTTATAGAGAGCACCGATCACACTATTAAGAGTGAATATCAGCCGATAACGATCGGCGGCCGATCGATCGGAGCATCCCTAACTACAACTATGTATAGATTTTCAATAAAGACATAATAAAAGATTCTTTAAAATATAGGGTATTATGAATAACAGAATGTTCTATACTTGGGGTGGATTTGCAGTTTAGATGTCATTTTTGTTTTGTAAATTCTATTTGACTAAGTTAGTTGCTGCAATCTAGCATGTTACTATCCCTTCGTGTAACGTTGGTAAGTAAGTGTTATCTAGATACATTTACTAAGTAAACAGTAGTCCCGACAGCTCCAATGAAATTAAGTTGTGTCATTCAAACAAGCCTATATGAATCGCCCCTTGATGTCACAACTAATGTGAAGCTTATATCTATTTTTAGAAATGATAAAGGAAGGGTGCACCATGCTGCAAAAAAGTCACCAATTTACTTTATAGTCAGATTTTTTTGCTTTATATTGATTCAGTTACAATGGATTCCAACAATGATGGTGAAGAAAAGTTTTTAAATTGGCCATTAAACTTCCTGCAGCATTCTCCATGTATCTACTGTTCATCCATGTTCAAATTATTTTGACAAAATATGGCCCATATTCTTGCAAAATGTGATATCGGCAGACATGAGTTGGATGTAACTGAATCACAAGTTTTCTCGTTTAATGATATGCGAGGGAAACACTAACCGTGTCAGTGCACCAGGGTGAGACAGGCCTTTCATGTGCAAATAAAACTGGAGGCATTCCTTTGCAGAATATACAGAAGAACTGCAGATCATCGTTGCTGCTCAATATTCCTGCTTTATGCTATGCTCAGCTTTAAAACATGATGAAAACAGCACAGTGTTTACTCTACAATGCGATTACCATAGAATGAGTCCAGGGAGGGCTTAAGGGAAATCAGAGGAAATAACAAGTTAAATCTACTGTCACAACCCATTTCTGCTCAGAGCAGCACGCTTCCACACGTCCTTTTCTGCTGTGACTGTGCTCAACTCACTGCCTTTGGACTGGCGTCTTCGAGGAATATACAGCATCCAGTCTTAGTTTAGCCGTCTGATTTCTCACGACTTCCCTCCTTCTTCCTCCTAGAGCTTTAGATTGTCAGGGATTTGACAACACCTCACCTCCTACAAAGTGACACAAGTGACACAATCGAACGTCGGCTGTCACTTTTCCAAAAGAAGCTCACAGGTGAAGGATAGCATTTTGAAGACTGCTTACATCATCACTTTCATCTCCTTTGGGGGAAGTTTGGGGATAGCAAAAGTCAGCAAAAGTTTTTTTTTTGCCTTTTGGAAATTGCAGCATGTCTGCAAAGCTGCTTGCACTGCAGAAATTGACCTGGATGAGCAAGCACATTTCCGGCGTTGTACACATTTGCTTGACCTTGTACAGTATGTTAAATATTTTACCTACCTGTGTACCTATCGGGGTGACCCCTCACTGATGCTCCTGCTGGACCGTTTCCCTGCTGACGCATCGGCATCAAGGCTTGTCTGTAGCGATTGGTTCCCCCTGAGACGGTGCTGCTCTGTCACCCTGACGTTAATGTTGCATAATGTCAGAGGCTGTCTGGTTGCACTGACGTACATCTGATGAGTCACTGACTCAAGATGTGGAATATTCTAATAGATAGCACGCACATGGACAAGGCAATCATTGAACTTGATGTTGATTCAAGGAGCAGCTCAAGTGGATGTGCGTTTATGTTCATGTGAAGGTTAAAGTTGATGTGAAACGGCAGTCGTTGCTCCAACCTTCGCAGTAACATACTTTTACAGCCAATAGGATTATCTCAAGATTCAGATGACTGTACTTCAGCAGATTAGCTGATTTTTAGGGTCGATCAGGTCAATCAAAAAATCTTCTGGTTCAAATGAATGTATATTTTCTTTGTGATTAAAACCAACAGAAAATAATGACCGATAGAAGAATGTAGTAAGGAGAGGCTCCAGAACGACTGCAATTCTCTTTGCCATCTTGTTTTTTTAAGGACCTTATTTTTGTGGTATGCAGGTTTGTTATTTTTCAGAAAATATCTCTTGATAGTGTTTTGGTGCCAAGTGCAGATTGCATGGTGCAGGTGGAGGTTTATTCGAATGAGGCTGAGAGAGCAAAACTGTTTTTTTGAGGAACATGGGTCTTATAAAATCCTCCGAAAACTACTCATACTGTTTAATACAAATATGATTTACAAATTCAGTTTTGAAGGCAGCATAACTGGCAGATGATATTTGGAAAAACAAAAACGGAACAACAATAAGCTCCAAGCAAAAAAGCTGGCTACCAAAAATATTAGGAGTTTACCGCTTTGAGATGACAATGTTTGTGAAGTGGCGGTTTCAATTCTGTTTCCACAGAGATCCAATTTACTCCGCCTATATTTTCCCATCCAGTTACACTCCTCCTGCCGACACGGATGATAGATGGTGATGATGGCGAGGGCGATGCAGGTTATGATGGATGGTGGATGATGATGACTGTGATAATGGTGATGATGGTGACTGTTTTTATTCTGGGCTGCAAAACACTATAGCATTGAGCATCTGAACACCACCCCCAGCCCCCATACATCATGTCCCCTCTCATAGCCTTTCGCGGCCCCTACAGGTGCACAGCCACAACTGCCAGAGTGACCTCATCCGTCCTCATTATGTCCACATCATTACACACGCATGTGCTCGTACAAACTCCACACATGTATTAATCATAAACTAGGCCGGAGTATCTCCAAGGTTCTGGCTGTAGAAAGAGGAACATGTAGGTTTCATGTCTTTTTCTCCCTCGTCACTCTCTGCCCTTATTTCCTGCACTTCTCTCTCATTCTCCACCAAACCTCTGAACATCTTCCCCTACAACCAGCTTTCCACCCCGCTGTCCCTCCCTCTGCTCCCTGTTATCTGGCAAGGCAGAGTCATCCAACTGAGGTCACAGACTCAGGGTGGAGGTTCCTCCATTTGTTAGCTCCTAAGAAAGGCCACCGAATCAATTTTGTGCATTAAAGGCCGGCTGGCTGTCAACAGGCCGGGAGCGAGGAAGAGGAGTCGGAGCGGGCCGCCCTGTCAGCTGGAGGAATGGAATTGTATCTGGAGGAATCGTTGGACCGTTCAGGGGAAGAATGGGATCCTCTGTCACTTCTGGTACAATGCATGACAACATCTACTGGATAGGATCAATGGAACAACATCAGGAAGGTGGCTTTTGCTTTTGTGCTCGCTGTCTTGAAGTAAAACGCAACCCCAGCTCCATTTGAAAGTGAAAAGAAGCAATTTTTTGGTAAAATGTGATGAAGTTCTTACACCAGTCACTGGATCATTCTTCTTGTGGATGTGCTGGTATTTCCCAGAGGGGAGAATGGGAGGTGGAAGCGGAAAGATTGGCAGTGGGAATATCATGTAATCCCATTTGGGATGGAGGGGATGCTACCAGGGAAATCCTCACTGGCATATACATAGAGACGGCTGCAGAGACAGGAGGGAATAGGGAAGCAGCAAGTAAACATTGGTGGGAAGAAGGGAAATGTGGAGGAACAGAGTATACAGACTGGTTCGAAAATAAATAGATAATAGAACCGAATGAAGGAAATGGAACGGAGAAGAAGCATTCACACATTTGTTGTTATCATCTCAATTGAACCTCAGGCGTTGGCACTACAGCTGGCATACAGTGTGTTCAATGATCTCATTCTCTCTTGGATGTAGATGTTTGTGAATGTGGATGTATTTC